GTATGTCACCTGAGACGATGATAGTACGGCTCGCGTGAACTTCGCTGTGCTCGTGTAATATCTTGCGCGATAATTATAATGACGATTCCGAACGACACGTTAATGTTTGATTGATTCCCGACTCTGACTATTCCGCCTTGTATAGCTGGTTATATAGTCTGATCGATGCCCGGTCAGCATTCCGATCGATTGCGTCGATCGGTTGCGTGATATTGATCAATCAATATCACGCTCGATTTGATCATCAAATTTAGGAATTTGTTGATCAGCTTTTTCGCAATGTTCTCGCGATGCATTTCTTCGGTTTTTCGAAAGACTGGTCGCGATTTCGGCGATCACACATTTGTGTCATCTTTCGAAAGACTTTTCGAGGCTCGTGCAACCTAATTTTGTTGCCATGCGGACTACTTTTATTATTGGTTGTAGGCCTGGCTACAACAATATTTTAAATAACAATAAAAAAAATAAAAATAATAACTACAGAATTCTTTTTCATTCCTGAACACTAATATTCTTTTTTCATAATTACAATTTTGAGCACAAAATAATCAGAATATTTTTAATAATAATTATCTTTCCATTATTCTATATAAATTTAATCTATATAAATTTTAAGGTTAAAAAAGTAATTATGCAAAATATAGACATATGTGTGTATGTATGTGTGTAACTAAATTAAAGGTTAAAAATTAATGAATTTATTTAAAAAATTAAAAATTAGTTATGCAAAATATTACTATTTCTCTAAATCATTGTATTTATAATTACATTTATAATTATTTCGCAATTGTAATATATCTAATATGTTCACTTTAACTAACGCATATCAATTTAAATTGTAGTCCGCGCACAACCAACAATTTGGCAGTCGTGTTGCATTCAGATTAAAGATGCCGCTAAGGAGTTATCCTACTGTTCTTTCTTATACTGTGATGAGGGGATGAGAAGGGATATATTAAAAAATAAGTGGAGGAAGTAGGATAGGCAATATTTAACGGGAACGTAAAAGGAAATAGAAGTGGAGAGTGGACATATACCGGAGGTAGGGGGACTCAGTTATCGATTACGTGATAGGAAGTACGGAAACGAGGGAGGGAGTAGAAAAAATGGAAATCAAGGACCGTATATAGATTCGAACTATCAACGAACTATCATTGGTATGGATAAAGAAGGAGAACGGAAGGAGAAGAAGGGAGGGAAGGGCAGAGGAGAAAAGAGATAAGTCTGGACGTTAAAAGATAGAGAGGAATTCAGGGGGGCTTTGGGGGATTTGAAAATAAGAGGCGGTGAGGTGGAAGAGATATGGAAAGAGACGAAGAGAAGGATTAAGGGAATATTAGAAGATAGTAGAGCGATGGAGGAAAGAATGAAAAGAGGACTGGTGAGATGAAGAATGTGTAGAGAGAAAAGAAAAGGTTAGAAAGGCTTTGAAAAGAAGTGGAGAAAAGACGAGGGTGATGGGCAAACCTATAAAAGGAAGAGATTGTCATATAGCAAGATGTTAGAAGAGAAGAAAAGAGAAAGTAACGAAAGATGGGAGAGAGAAGTGCAAAATATAAGAACGAATGGTCAGGTTCGGGAAGTGATGAGTAGGGAGAGGAGGAAAAAGAGAAGAGGGGAAGGAACAATGGGATGCGTATTTTAAGGATTTGTTGGAAGGAGTGAATGAAAGGATGATCAGGGGAATAGGAAGGAGAGCAGGGAAGGATCAGGAGGAGAGATTGATAAGGAAGGAAATGAAGGAAATATTCAGGGGGATGAAAGATAAAAAGGTGGTTGGAATAGATGGAGTGCCGGCGGAAGTTTGGAAATATGGAGGGGAGCAGATGGAGGAATGGGTTGGGAGGTATGCGATAGATGGGAGGGTAAGGGATGGATTAAAGAGTGAAATGAAGAAGTCATAGTATCGATAGTAAAGAGGGGGGAGGGAACTAGAGTGAAGATTATAGGGGGGGAATCTCGCTGACGCCGACTTTATACAAAGTGTATGCATCGTGTTAGTGAACAGGCTAAGAAAGAAAGTGGACAAAAAAGATCTCACACAGAATTCCACAGAATCAAACGGGATTCAGAAAGCGTCTAGGAACGTTGGATAACATTTGTGTTGAATTATTTAATTAATCGACAAGTGAGTAAGAATAGGAAAACTGGTGGCCCTATTTGTGGATCTTAGAGTCGCGTTTGATTCTGTGGATAGAGGAATATTAGTAGGGGCAATGAGGGAGAGAGGAATGAGGGAAGGACTGCATTCATCGAGAAAATAGAACTATCGTCTCTCACGGAGAAAATGGAGAACTATAGAGGGATATCGTTGCTTTGCACAGCGTACAAGATCTACGCGGAGGTGTTGAGGAAAAGGTTGAAGGATGAGGTCGAGCATGGGACCCTAGTGCCCGAGAGCCAAGGTGACTTTAGGAAGGGTAGGGGGACCATGGATAATATTTTTGTGCTAAGTCATCTGGTGCAGAGAGAGAGAGGAAAGCAGGAGAAAAAAGAAAGAAAGTGTATGCCTTTTTTGCAGATTTGAGCTCGGCCTTTGACAATGTGAATAGGAAGGAGCTATGGGAGATACTGGAGAGGAAAAACATCAATGGGACACTAATACAGAGGATGAAGGAAATTTATGAAGATACGAGAGCAGCAATTAGGACGAAGGATGGTCTATCGGAAGAATTCAAGACGAAGAAGGGGGTGAGATAGGGGTGTGTACTGAGTCCGACGCTGTTTAATTTGTACATTGCGGATCTAGATGAGCGTCTAGAAAAGAGGAGAACAGGCGGAATAAAACTAGAGAAAAACAGAGTGTGGTCGTTGGCATACGCAGATGATTTGGTGTTGTTAGCAAAAAAATAGGGAGGCTATCGTGGATATGATGGGGACTTTAGAAGGATTTTTAAGGGAAAGGAAACTAAAATTAAATACTGGTAAGTCGAAGATGTTGGTTTTCAATAAAGAGGGGAGGGAAAAGAAAATGAAATGGGAATGGGGGAAAAGCGAGATCGAGGAAGTGCAGACTTTCAAGTATCTTGGTTTTAACTTTAATAGGCGAGGGACTTACGACTTTCATATAAAGGAACTAAAGAGAAAAGGAGGATAGCGGCAAACATGATATGGGGATTAGGAAAAAGAATTTGTAGGAATGATTTTATAAGGAGATGGATGATGTTCAGGTATTTAGT